ATGCAATTGTAACAATTTCACTTGATTATGAACAATAAAAATAAATTCATTTTTCAAACTGAGATCGTCTATTATTTCTTCTCGTCTATTTTCATGTTCCCCTATTCCAGTAAAAATCGTTGACGTCCTATACATCCTTAAAGCGATTTTTTGCACTCCAGCGTCGTCGGGGGAGACCGCGTTTCTCAATCGACGATGAACAACGAGAAAGTAATTGTTCGACGCACGGGGAATAGTGCAACGAACACGATTGTTACGCGCGTCAGGCATTCGCGTCCGTTATTAATCGGCGAGGTGAGAAATTAAAGGTCGCCGGTGAATGGAAAGCTGCGTGGCGCCTTTTGAACCAATCGCTGTTGCTCGCGGTGAGAAACAGGGACGATATGGGGCCGGTGCTCATTACTACTCACCTCGAGAGTGGATCGACGAACAGCATCACGATGATCACCGCAACGATCACGCAGGTCAGGTAGATCGCAGAGATCTCGTAGATCTCGGACTCCGGTGGACGTGCCAGGGTCTCGTGGGCGCCGTTTCCGTGCACGCAGAAGTCCGCGCCGCATAATTGCAGCTTCTTCTCGTTCCAGATCGTCACGGTACTGTTACCAGCGTCCGCTACCTCTCCCTCGCTGAGCACTTTTAACAAGAATAAGCTTCGATTAAAATTGATATTAAACGTGATGAAAACGAGAATTGAACTTCGATGAGAAATGATTAAACTGCGAATTCTACACGTATCATAAATTTTGCGTACGAGTACGCAATCCAGAAAGGATAAAAATTATGATTAAGGAAAGAATTCGTAGTACGCATCCTCGCCCTGGCACGGCATAAATCTCTAGCAACAATTTATCAAGATTGCACATAACTTCATCGTCTACAATCGAGCTTCTACGCAATTATTTATGCATCTGATCAGAATCTATCAGGCATCGCATATGTTCACCGAGGCATTCCAAACGTTTAAACACGAGTACGGTTTTATAAAGAAAATTGATCGAAAGTTCCCTTCGAAAACAGACAGTGGTCTCGTTTTGCTTATTAAAATAAACCATTCTCAAGAAGATGGAATCTGAACAGGAATTTCATTCGGACTTCACAATGTTCTGCCGTTTGAATGCATCGAGCCTAGTTATTAATGAAAAATGATATCATTGGTAATACATTCTGGAATCTGCATTGGCCAATCGACTCGCGCGGTCGTCGGACCTGCGAACGATAGGAACTTTCACCGGATCGTCGTTGATAATATCATAGCGTGTTTACAATGTCTCCCACCAGCGTTTCCGATTGTCCGCGAGTCCTACTTATCGGGCTTATAATACATACATACATATAAGTATTCGACTCGGTGTCCGTGCGCGAACGCGTTCCACGCGATTTCCTCGCTACCCAACGATCAAGTTTAGCCTGTCGTTGGAACGCGTTTCCAGCAACCTCTACAGCTAGAGGAATTTCAAATCTATGCTCGTAAAGATCATTAAGAATCTTATTTAATTTACTACGTCGTCGGCTCGGTTACTAAACGGTAAATTATTATTATTATTATATACGAGGAACGTATCGTACGCAGTTGAGAATTCCATACAAATCAATCGCTGGTCGTTGGAACATTTTACACGCATTTGAGGAGATTGATTGAAAATAAATATGTCTCACGGTTCCGTCGGGTAACTCGAGAACCGTGCAACGAGAAACTTGGAAACGTTCACGTCTACGTATTCATTAAAGGCATCGCGTCCCGTTAATGCATGACGAGAGTACGAGACGCGTAATACATTCGATTACACACGATCCGCGAAAAGGCATAAATTAAACGTAATTAACGAACGTGTGTTTACGAAAAATTACGGACTCATGGAAACAATGTCTTCCTTTCCATGCGGTGTATGCGGTCATCGTTTACAGCCACGCTTATCGCGTACCGATAATCGTGACACGAAAAACACGTTTTACACGGTGCCGCTTCCTACAATGACGCATCGGCGGACAATGAATCGTGACGAGGCGCCTCCACCGTTCCCGTTCGCAGAAATTCTGGGGGTTGCTTTCGAGATCGTCGGCTCAAGGCTTGGTTCCGCTAGATCGCCGGTGCGAGTTAATTTGGCTCATTTACGATTCTATTGACGTACATATAGAAAAACTGATTATAATAATAATTATTTGCACGTCAATGCTGAATGTAATAAAAGAAAATGTATTTTAAAAATAGAATATATATGTAATAATCGTAATAATAATACTAATAATACTTTACTTCACGGACAAAGTGTATCATAACATACGATAGAAGTAAAAATACAATAAAAATGAAGGACAAAAGATAAAAGAAAAAAAAATATAAAAATCATTTCGAACAGAGTTTCTTTAACATAAAATTTTTTTTTTTTTTAAAGAACTTCAATTTTCAGATTCAAATCGACTGATTTCAGGTGTACACCCAACATCCGGCAATCTAGTGTTAAAACGCACCTCGAGGTACGAGTGTCTGCACACAAAGTTTCTGCAACGTCATTCGCGACCTTCGATGACCGACCGATTTTGCATACGTCGACCTTCGAGCGGTCGCGGCCCCCGTCTCGCATAAACAGTAGTGATTCGATTAATTACGAATTAATGATACGTCTTCGAGGCTGATGAAAAATGTTATATAAATATCGAGCCTTCGACAAGAAATATAACGAGCAAATCCGATCGCCTCGACGCCCCTATATTTTTTATATCGCACGCGCAACGAATTATGAGGAAAGCGCGGAGCGATGCGAACGGAAGCGGCCGCTGCAGGGAGGAAGCGCGCGATTCGAACGACAGAGAACGGTTGTAACGTTGCCGCCAACCAGGTATCGGGGAATGCGTACGAGGTGGTACGGAAACTGACCGTCGCGAGTTTATACCGGATAAATCTCGTTCCTTCCCGCGTGCGATGGGTTCTCCGTCGTCGTTCCACCGACGCGGCTATCTTTCTCGTCGAGAAACACGGCTGGGTGTTGGTAGCCGTCGGTCGGAGCCGCTCGACCATTGGAGAACGGCGCGTAAGCGTGGCACGGATCGAGTCAGGGAAAGGACCGAACGTTTGGCCCGACCGTCTGACCAGCAGCGTGCTACTACTGCCGCGCGTGTCGCAATTGTGTTCACGAATTACCGGGACACGAGCTCGCGTTCGCTCTGACGTATACAGCGTTAGAAGTCGTGAAACTGGCGGGACTTAGCAGAGATCAATGAGTTCATAAAAGATATTATTCGTGTGGATTCCATCCTCGAGTTTCTCTAAGAAATTCGGTCATCGATTCCAGATCCTTGAACCCGCATTTGCATTTTCAACGATTCTGAAAGGGCACGTGGCCGGTGATATTAATTTATGACAGATTAGGAAACGAAGGATAGAGGTCCGAGTTGTTTTTAATATACCTGAGAAGGGAATTTGATAAAACGGTGGAACGTTTCCTGTTAGGAACTTTCGATTACCTCGATGAATTTATGCGCTTCGACGTCTTCTCAATATCGAATCTGGCTCACAGATGCGTTTCATTCGGTAAAGATCGTCGGTTGAAAATTTCTTACTGATTCAACGTAACACTTCAACTGGCGCTGAATACCGATCGGTCGTGTCTACGTTTACGGCGCGAAGAAACAAGGCCAGAACTTACCCAACGAGGAGATGAGGTTTCCCCAGAGTTCGGCGGTCTGCCAAGCGAGGAAGAAGAATCCGAAGAACCTGACGACGATCGCGTCAACCGGTTGATCGGTGAGCTTCGCGTAGACGCCGCCGACTTGGGTGAGGTAGGTGGCTTTGGCCGCCCACATGGGCGCGGCGCCCAGCCCGAGCAGCACCCCGGCCGGCACTAGGGTGTAGAATTTCGGGTAGAACTGCGATGCGATGTACGGTGCGTAACACATCATAGATACGCATAAAGTCCATTTCACGGTGAGCCTCTTGATGAGGAACGTGGGCACGAAGATGCATGAGAGCACCTGGGCGGCGTAGATCGCCGAGAGCGAAACGGTGCCTAGACCGTCACTGGCGTTTATAGACGACTGGAGATTCGCCGTGCCTTGGAACGCGGTGAACTGCACCATGAACGCGATCGACACGGTCCCAATGTTCTTTAGGATCCTCCATTTCTCGCCGCGGGAGAGCTTGAACTTTCTCGATTGAGTGTCGTCGTCCGTCGACGACAACTGCGGCGGCTTGTGCGGCTCCGGGGGTATCCCGTCGATCACATCGTCCTTGTAGCCCTCGTTCCTGTAACCGACGCCGCTCACGGTCACCGTGTACACGGTCGTCTCGTCGACGCCGCCACCGCCGCCGCCGCCTCCACCATCGCCACAGCTACCGACACTTCTGGTACCATCGTGTTGCGAAGCTACCATTCTCCGTGCTTGCTACCTGCGACATTACACGAAAGTACATTAGATACCTCTCGATTAATTATACAGAGGATAAGAATTTCATAATAAAAACTGCGCGCTATATTTACGTCTATTTTGTATACAATTTGTCAGGTCGTCATTTGAGACTGACTTGAGAGTCTCGCGGGATACAATTTATTAAACAGGTATTTAAAGAATGGAAGAGAAGGCGCGTGTAGTTTGTTAGTCACGATCGTCTCGCTTGTATTTTCTGTACATAAACGCGATTTATAACGGACCCTTCATTGGTATGAAGAGGCACGCGGAGACCTCGCGATTTAAAGGGAACCTTGTCCATCCTTTTAAACCTGTTTCACACTAACAGATCACGTTTCTGTTCATTACACAGATTCTTCATATTTTCTGTACATCAGACGTATTTCAACGAATCAAATCTACGGTGTACCGTCTACATTTCTTTGTCGTACAACTTCTAATCAACAAATATGAATCCTTGTCATCATTGATTCTGATCGAATGATACCACGACCGCTGGTGTGAATCGAGCTTAGGTTCTTCTCTTTTTTCATTTGTGAAAGGGTCTCGTGGAACGGTCGCGTCCGCGAAGCACGTTCCAGTTGCGCTTGTAAATTCGTTTGTCGTCGATGTAATCGATGGGAATGCGTGACCGGGCGGTACAATGCTGTGACACGTGTCGTACGGCGTGCATCGCAATTAACCGGCGCTCGCAATACCTTCACCTCGTTCGCCGACTCTTTCTGCCGTCCCCACCGACCCGAATCTTCTTCTTCGTCTCATTGGCAACGTTTCTCGAGCCAACTTTCTTCCGCTACCATCGTCACTTGTACGCGTCTGTTAAATCGTCGTTCGCTACCAGAACCATCGAGAAACGACTAATTTCACTCTTCGACATATCCGACGGTGTCTAGTTAATGCAAAATTGAAACGCTTTAACAAATACGCTTGTTTCGCTAAGAGATTGAAACGAGGCGTCTTCAGGAAAGATTTATGCGGTTTAAACACGATTAACATACAATAAACTTGATAAATAAACAATATCTGCGGAAGACGACTCGATAAATACACGTCTCTGTATAACGTATGGGCGTGAAAGAAAAAAGAACGATGCTGCAACCGTATGCAAAAAGGTGTATTTCAACTTGATGGGATCGCGATAATCACGCGCGGGAACATCGCCGAGAAATAAATACTGAAACCTTGGTTCCGTTGCGATCGTCCGTCAAGATCGAGAAGTGTTTCGCGGAAGGCGACGAAAAATATAAAACCAGTAAAAACTGTGGTAAACCGAGTGGTACTTCGAACGAAACACGAGAGTCGACGTCGATTTTCTCTTCCTTTAAGCTTGGAAGATAAAGCGGCGCGGAAAAGCAAGACGAAAAGACATAACTAATCTTTCGGTTGCATAACGAGAATACCGCCGTCGTACCATGCGAGCGCGCGATACGAGAATTCTTCGTTTCGTCCTTCGAGGAAACACGCGAGAAATGTTTTACCGCGGTTGTAACGCGCCGCTTTCCACTAACAGAATTCGTCGAACGTTTGCCAAATTTCTCGTATTACATAATATCCTCAGAAGTGTCTTTTAAATTTTGTCAACATCGATTAAGGTTTTATGAGCCATAAAATCCCTACTAAAATTTTAATACGTGTAATAAAAAACTGTGTCCAATATTTAAGGCGATGAGCTTTTAGAAAGAATAATTATTACAGAGGAGTAAAGTTTATAAAATTGTTCCACCTGTTTTTCTCATAAGGAATTATTAACGCATTATTTCTAAAATTTTATACAGTGTTTCATTAAAATTTTTTTAAATGCTTTGTCATTGTTTTTATGCAAGGGTTCGTACAACCTTAAGCATGGAAGTTGCCTGCTTCTTCGTATAATCATCAGATTTTTTTAATCGTGTTTCTATGCCTGTTAATCGATCTGATGATAAGTATAATAGGTATCAAAAAATTATATAATAAATCGGCTGGTAAGCTCTTCTGAGATTCAAAATAATTGCGGTATTTAGTGATTCGATTCATTATATAGAATTACGATAATTGACATCGATTTGATATTTCTTCCTGAAACTCTGCCGATTAGATTCGAAAGAGTCGTAACGATCAGAAAAATAGCTATTACACAAGTGGCAGGATCAAACGATTCTCGAACCGCCAAACCTGAGCTCGTAGTCGTCAGTGTTACACTCTCGCAGGTAATTATCTTCATCGTGATCCCATTAACGACAATTATCGTGGAAATTAGTCTCGCTAGAATTTATACATTTATGTTAAAAACTGCTGATTTCTCAGCGAAGACTTCGTATTTCGACTTCCATACAATAAAAATCGCCCAGTGGTCAGTAAAACGTTAGAAAATGCGAAAGAAATCCTTTGGAAAACGAAGGAACAATCATTAATATCGTCGTTGCCGTTTAAGAACAAAGTGGACGGCTTTCGTCGGTTCGTAATAAAAGGGACGATGATCATCGGTGAACACAGAGTTTACACAGGCGATGGGTGCTCGGCTGGTCGAAAAATCGGTAGCCGCGACGACGGTATGCGTAATTAAGCGTCGTCGTCGGACGTGTAGCAAATGTATGCGTAAGTGAATTCCCACTTTTATATCGGCAGCACAGAAACACAGTTCGCGTGACCCTGACTCACTTCAACGACCGATTCGGCCACCAAAGTCTGGTCAAGTACCGCGAGAACACCCACCCCGACCAGTTCCCGAACGTCCTTCGACCCGACTTCGACCCATTTGCATCGCGTACCGGCCATAAATATTATACCAATCAATAAAGTATTTTATGTAATGCGTATATAGTACCGCGATTCTTACAATAATTGATACAATTGTTTCTATAATGATTCTATATATTCATATAAACCGTCATTTGCATAGGCTTCCAATGTTAAGAAAACGTAGTCAACATTAGGTAGCCAAGCTCCACCTTCGGGACCCACACGTGACCAAACAGCGGCAATTTTAGCTAATGAATTTAAATTTTACATAACATATGAGCAGTATTCATGGTCATTACTTATTTTTAAGATCGCCATTAGCATTTACTTAAAGCGATTTTAAAAATAAGTATGTAACTGCTTTACATGTTTAGTTGTAAAAATTTTGGGTACCGAGTATAGTGGCGTTACCATATGTTGGCTACGTTTCTTCTAGCGGACCAACGGGCCATGTGTATACAATCAAAGGTTCTATCGTAGGTATAATAACGGCAACGTGTCGAATGGAGAAGATCCAGCACGTTCCTGTACGTCCTTCGGCTCTCTGACCATGAATCTCGCCGTGCCATTTTTCTGGTAAACAAAATAGACGCCTGAGAGGCCCCGAACTATCTTTAGCCAGTCCATCACCAATTATTTCATAACACCTGGCAGTTTCGACACCTGCTTATTTTCAAGTATCATCTCTTTTGGCCACAGAAAATAGGATTGGCGACGTAAAAGGATTTTTAGTACGCTTTCGGTCATCGATCACGGGGAAGAAAAAGGAGATACTCGAACGCGATTTCCATAAAACGTAGAATCGATCGGCTTCCTTTTCGACGAACATGGCCGATTGCCAATCGACGATTGAGAAAGCGAGAAATCGTCGCAACCCCGGGTGCCAGTCGATGCCTCTCATTTTTATTCGCACGAAAATTCCGCTCGGTTCTACGAGTCTCGGTAAAAATCATCTCTTCGTCATTGGCAAACCAGCTCATGCATCCAGAAATATCAGATACCGTCAATCACCTACAACAGGCATGGGAAACTCACTGACTATTGAGGACCATATTAAATATTATATTTTAAATCGGGCCACGAAACGAAAAAAACAAATGGAAATAATGACGAAGCATAACTTTTTTTTATAAACATATCAATACGTATAAAATAATAATACACAGAATATAAATGTATTAAGAAATACATTTGCATTTAGTAAAGTTTCTTTTTTTTCACTTTAAAATTATTTAACTCTTTCAGCGTTAAGTAATGCGACGTGAGCTGCTCACTTTTTACGATAATGCGAATGCATACACTGATATAATCTCAAAAGTAGTATCAATCATATATGCGTTCATAGCCCAAAATGAATGATTCTGTGAGAACCCATATGTACGTCTATATCGCTTAAAGGGTTAAATAAAATAATACTATGTATTTTTTAAAGAAACTTGGCAACGTTTTCCTTTAACCAAATCTTCAAAGTTATAGTTATTTTTAAAATTGCTTAAACGTGTTCGTCTTAATCTTGTTTTTTCCACAGTTAAATTGTATGTAATATGTATGTTAATTGTAAATAATTTTTAAGATAGAAAATGGAAATGCACAAATATATGTTAGCAAATATAGTTTCAGTGTTGACAAAAGTTAAATAAAGGTATTGGTTACCAATCCTGGCGAGCTGTGTGTTTCACATGCCTGAACTACAGTAAATGATCCAATTTCCATCCACGTCACGATTCCTACTCACTGACTTTTTTCCTATTTGCTTTACTAGTTTTTCACAAGTGAATAAAAATTGTGTCACAAACCGAAATTATGATATTTACTATTTTGATTTTATATCCTAAAAACTTTGATAATTAAGACAGAAGAGGAGTACTCGTACTTGGAGCGTGCCGAAATCTTTCTACGACGAAGGTCGAAATGTTTTTCCTTCGACCTTTTTTCTCGAGCCTCGCAGGAGCGAAAAGGAGCGCAGACTCTCGAGCTCTACGTTAGCCGCGATGTTCACCTTGATCGTTGAACGCGTTAACACACTTTTCACACGGTGTACTACAAACGAGCGTTGATCTACTCGACGCAGGACGACGAGTGAAAAGAGTTGTCATAAATTTCGATTGATAAGAACTCTCCGGCTGGCATTTAACTGTAAGATCACGCATACAATATTTCAAGCAACGATTATCTGTCCGCTGTTTTCGAAAATGTTGTCTTCTGTTTTGCAACGGTACGTGGTCGCCCGTATGCACCATTGTAAATACGGATAAAGCGGTAACCCGAATTATGCAAGAACCCCGTCGTAGCTGTTGTTACTGCGTTTTTAAACAAAGCTTACGTGTAATGCACACTGGAGACCTTTCCTAGGATAAGAACGCGCGCAAATGGTCGACGATAAAACCGTAAAGGCTACGGTCGTGAAAATCGGCAGGGAAAACGCGTACTGTTTTATCTCGACCCGCACGTGTTTCGAAACGTTCGAGCAACGGAGGAACATAAGAGGATTAAATGAAATTAACGAAGCGCCCTGAATCAACCGATGGATTTAACGAACTGCGTGTGTCGATCCTAAGTCCATCGTTTCGTCGATACGTTCCATCGACTGAGTTCTTATATTCCCTGTTTTTTACAGCTTTTATAGCTCGTCATTTGTACAACGTCCAGAGGTACACCAATGATTTCGATCATCGATACGGAACGCGTTTGGTCACCGTTCGAACGTAAACGCTCGCGCAAATAAGAATGTAGGGAGATCGTAAGAACGTGGACGATGAAAAGTGCTCGTTATCTGAACGGTATTTCGCTCACTGCATTCCTCCGTTTCGCGTTTAACGCCTTATTGTCAACGCATTGAAATAAAACTGCGCGTATGCATTATTCGCGAACTGGAACCAAAACCGTACAACGCAATGAAAAACATGTTGAATTGAAAACATCAAAACGCAATGAAATCTCATCCCGTATGATTCATAATAATTGTTTCATTCACTATATACTAAATACGATGATCAGAAAAGCCAATATGTTAGCGAATGAAAAATGATCGTTCGACTTTATCGCCTCTGTTAACTTAAAAACCTGTCAATCATTGCAACTGTAAAAAAAAAGTCTGTTCAGTCGAGAGGCTTGATCGACAGATTGAATTAAGAATCAAACAGGATTGCCGTATTTTCGTAGATTAACAATGAACCTAGCGAAAGTTCTACTCTACTATATTTATATTTCTTCCATTTGGATGCGACTTAGCGTTGGCATTGAAAAAGAAAAGGCCACGTACCGTTGGCAAAGAGGTATTTAAAACCAACGATTCGTGAATGATAGGCTTGGTGTTAAATCGGTGAGCAACGAAATTCTACCGAGGCTCGATTCGATCGGAGGAAAACAGGTTCGATCGTAAGTAAGTATATTTTACTGAAAACTCGACGATCGTCGCGAGCGACCGCGGTCGTTGTTTTCGATTCGAGGAATCTGTCACCGGCAGCATTCGCGGCACACCTCGCGGGACACCCTGTATGTATATACGCCGGATTAGAAAGTCCTCGCGGAACGATCGGCTCGTAAATGCTTCAATCGTTTCACAACGAAATGCTCCAAGGCGTAAACGCGCGCCGTTGTCTCGAGCCACGATAGCCTTCACGGTACAACAGTGCTACGGCTCTCGTAAATGCAATCATCTCGTCTCCCGTGTCATCGAACTCGAGCAAATTTTTAACCGATGCCAACGACACGATTCAACCGCGTTTCTATTCCTTTCCTCCGTTTAGAACGATTAGGAAGAATAAAAAGTAGTAACGTTATCGAGACTAGTTTTCGTCTACTCGAGCCATCTTATCGATGACTACTTATCTCTTTGCTTTTAGCTTACGTCCCAAGCTCATTTTCCAAGATCCTTAAACGATCCTACCGTCTTATCCTTACTTCGGTCTTATCGTCGGTCTCATCGTCAGTTCCGTCAGACGTCGGTCAATTTGCAATGAAAATTTATTTTATCTTTGATTGCAATTTATTAAATGACACCCCAAATCAATGAATCGAAGGTGGTTCGATGACTACGAAGGGGAATTCGAAAACGTAACACGATTCTACTATCTGTGTCGTAAATCCGACCGAGACGAGCCACGGCGTGTTTCGCTTTTACTGACGCCTCTGCTGGGGTCCTCGCGCTGGAACGATTAGACGCGTAATAAGGGTATTGACGTAAACACCGATTATCCGAAGTTGGACAGAGTTTGCACGGACACAGGAAGTAAAACAAAGCCGGCGATCGATACACGATGACACGAGGAGACCGAAGAATGTTCAACGACTACCCGCGTTTCATTCACGTCGGCCCGTTTATGTTTGCCTCCGACACCTGTTTCCTATATTCCGTCCTGCCAGCGGTCTGTTATCAGCGAAATTCAACGACTTGGTTATTCTCGAATAACGCGCGATAACGAACGATTATTCGGAAACTGGAATACATGGTAAAACCCAAGGACGTGTTTGACTATGATGAGGAGGCCGAGAATCGAACTGTCGTAACACTTGCTTTTATTAAGAGCAATCTTATTTACTGTGATGTGTCTGTGAATCTGGACGCTCGTGTCAAAGCTCTCTCGTTGCAATTGAATCGTCTAGTCAGTTTGTTTAAAAGCAAAGAATCAAGGATCGAGCTATTTGATTTTCGGTGTACAAAGATAGTCAGGCTTGCAGCTGCGCTCAACCACGGCCCGTAAACGTTGTTCGTTTGCATTCTTTTGTTCTGTGTCACGCTGTGCTCGGAACAATTAAACATTACATTGGGAGTAAGTAGCGAGCGTGGAGGAGTATGTTTTCCCTCGGTAGGAATGGTCGATCATAGATCATAGTTCGACGTTTGCGTATAAAGTAAACCGTAACGATAGCCCCATAAATTATGTCCACGGTTCCAAGAACAACGTTCTCTCAAACAGCTGCATTAGCTTTGCGACCTGATCAGATTTGGCGATAACGTAAAATCTTGCTGTCCCAAGTGAATTATGAGATTCTATTCTTTTCTACCGACCCCTTACCTAAAAACAATGACAAAGCGTTGAAATTTTAACAGTCACTAGACATTACATTAATAAAACACTGTACAAAGTTTTAGAAATTTTGCAAGCCTATTAAGAAAGTTATTACATCTTGCATTCTCATGTCGAATGACATGAGTTTTGATTTCATATATGTATAATAAGACTTTATAATACAAGGTCATACATGTCAATTTCGAGGATATTATTTAAGATATGCAATAAAAAGTATGCATAAATAAGAGTTACAGAACACGTAGACAATGTAGACAGTTGCAAGTTACGTGCAATCATTCTTAGCGAAGAATGTATATATAATCCGTAGATGAAGTTACATTTGGTGTGTACAAGGCTGACGGCCGTAGCGTATTAAGTAACAGTAAAATGAGGAAAACTCATTGAAAGACCGAAAGATCTTTCAGTAGTTGATAAACTCCTCTAAACTGGTTTTTATGTATTAAGATTCTATTTACATAAATATGACTACGAATACCGCTGTTCGAAGCCGGTGTTTATAGAAACACGTCCGAAATACACAGTTTATCTGTTCACTGGTATTTATAATTCCGCATGTTATCATTGCTAATTCCTGTTGCACAATTGAAATGTTTTTAAACTTGTGATAATATATAGTGGTTCTAAAGACTCTCTCAACATTTGCTAAATAATGCTAAATAAAAGCGTGCATTACCTGTGCAATTTCGCGTGTCAAGTCGTAGTATGACTTAGCAACGGTGGTAGATTACCTCGTCAATTTCTGTTCAAGAGAATTTACTACTGCGAGTTCACTTTCATTGATCGATCCTTCATATTTTCCAATTGCATTTCCCTCGGCGAACGAAGACAACTTCAACCTGTTTCGCGTACGCAACCTTCTCACTCTCCGACCTGTTGCACGCGCAGCAGCGAGCAGGTTGCAATTAAACAAAACGCGAGGACGGTCACCAAACCGGATGTACGTTCGAAAGTCGCAAATACGCGTCGAATTCCATATGGCTTACCCTGCGTCTATGTTACAACGTCGCGGTTCATTATTATCTCTACGTATTTCTCGAATATTCATGCCTTTCGTTAGACGACGGTGCCGCTAGCTCGCACGCTATCGGCTCGTGGCGAGGAAAGAAAATGACGCATAGAACGCTAATAATCAATTGGGAATACTTTCAATGAAAACTCGTCACCGCAAGTCGCACTATTCGTCTCGAACTACCGTTATCTCTCGCTGAATTCGGCCAACGAACAGACTAATCAGTTACATTTCTGTCTTCTGATAAAATTTTCAAGGTTCTTAGTCCACTCGAAAAGTTACGATCGATTGATTTGTGGATCATACACACAAGAATTGTTCTACGTCTACCTGACTAAATAATTTAAAAGGAATGTGCATTATAAATTATAACCTTATAACTTCCTGAAGAATCTGTCCATATTCGAGTCATCTTTCGATGCTGAATGAATCCTGAATCGTCTTGAATGCCTGTGCAGTATTTAATCCTGACGAACGCTGACTAGATTTGTCTACGCGAATTGTGGCTTTCGCGAGTACGAAGACTTATGGTAACGACATCGGATTATACAACGCGGCGCCTGTAGCACCGCGGGTTGCCCGCGATCAGGACCTTCGAGCTCGCTCTTACAAACGCGATCCAGGCTGGTCGGCACCGGTGACGATTTCACGTTACACTTTCCCGGCTTTGGCAGGCCACTATTTTCGCGCGTATCCGATTTCTCGCGTCAGCTTTTTCCACAAGCTGCCACGGTAGGCACGCGTGGAATACCGATACCCGATAAGTTAAAAATAAACGAGGACGTCGGCGATAAATATTAAGTAACTGTACATCGGCTTGTTGCACGCGAACATCTTACCCGCACGCATATATACACGATCGTTCGTGCAGCCGATCGAGAAACGGCTCGAAGGATCCGTATTTGCGTTTAATCAGCGACAGGATCGCGTCTAACTAAAGATATTGTTCAGAGGATGTTCACTTACGTGTTAACGCTCGACGGTCGATTAGTCCGGACGACAAGCTCGTCTTCGTCCCTGTCTCTCGAATTTCTTCCGACTTCTTCGCCGCTCCAGCGCTCTTTCGCCTTTCCACTCTTCTGAAGTTGGTCGCGCGCCCGTTCAACAATACTATCTGTGACGACCCGCGAAACAACGATCTTCGACACACCGCGTTCTTCGGAAAAATCGTATTCTCTTCCTTGCTTCCGGTTTTTCTTGACTATCGATCAGAATCGAGCCCGTGCCATGCCACTGCGAGGAGCACACGAGATCGCGACGAAACGAACACGACGAGCAGGAGCGAAACTGGACTCGGTACGAGTATCGGCTTTGGCGAGTGTATGCGCGGCCAAACTGTACACTCAGGGGCGTCGAAGAAAATGCTCGTGAAAGAAGGAGCTCGTCGAGTAGCAGCTACATCCGAACGGTTCGGGGTTTCGGAGACAACTGAGCCTACCAGCGGACTTTGGAATCGGTGAACGGTGTTGTGTCGGTTCGCCGGACTCGCGAAGACTTCTCCGAGTTCGAGGCTCTCCGAGAGACTCAGTCGTACTCGTTGTTTTCTTCCGTCCTTCTCGTTCCTTCTACCTCCCTCCCTTTCTCTCCCTCTCTCTCTCTCTCTCTCTCTTCGCGTGTACGGATACTATGTGCACGGTAGGTGGTACACGCGGGATCGCGTTGGTTCTACTCGCTCACGACGGACTCCGCTTCTGTACCTCTTGTATCTCCTCCTGCGCCTTTTGTTCCTTCATCCCCGTGGCGGCTTTTCTCTATGAACCTCGCACCACCTCCGGACCCGCCGCAAAACGCAAGCGCGACTCATCGTGTTGACCGCGGACGCACGTGCGTGTCTCGCGACTCCTGCCGCGATAGAACAGACGCGGAGGACGCGACGCTACTGTTTACCTATGGTCTGTCCCGTGTTCTGCTCGTTCCAATTGATTCAATATTGATTCTTCATTTTTCCTTTCCCCGATTTCGAGAATTTTAAGATTATTATAAGATTAAATATTGCTACCGACGAGAAACAATAAATTATGACTCTCCCCAGCCCCCTCTCCTTCTACCGTTCCTTGTGTCAGGTTAGCGCGAAACTAATGTAGCGCCAATCGAGTAAACATTCCAATTCCATTTTGCCTGCTGTACTCTCGTTATTAACTCGAATAACCTGGCGAATAATTGGGGTAAAGTTCGCCGGCGCTCGTTTATGGAAGTCTGAATCACCGATCGATTGTAAACGGAATCGCGTGTTATAATGAGCCGCTTAGCGCGTGCATCCGAATGCATTAAAGATCGCGGCGCGCTTTATAACACGATTCCTTTGTCGTCCGTTTGAATCGGGCACGCGATCGGTATGTACCGAGAACGCAAGCGTTTTACGACCTCTTACGCATTTCGGGTAACCGTAAAGAGGAGACCTCTTCGAACCGTACGAACCGACCGAAGAAATTGTTCGAGGAATTTCACGGTCTTTGGCCTGGGATTTCAGAAGATACATAACCCCGGGCTTTGTCGAGGAAAAACCTTTCCTTTTCACCCTGACAGGGGAACATATTTCCCCGTCCCTAATGAGTACCGTTAACCGTTTGTTTGATCTGGAAAGCCGATTGCGAACGAGACAGTCCGTTTTTTACTGCCAGTAATGTAACGAGGATCTTTTTTTTTTTATCCAGCCGCGCATAACAAAATCTGAAGCGTGTATGTAAACTCACATCCTTGGAATATCCCTGAGGGATACCCTCGGATGCGACCGGTGTTTTTCCATTACACAATCATTAACAGAACCTATCGGCATTGATTCACAGAATGTCTCTAAACAGTGTGGGAATGCCTTGACGACATGACCGCACCTTCGCACAGACGATTTTTCGTGTCGATCTTGTTTTTACGTAGAAATGGTACGTCCGATTCGAATGATAATGAAAGCGTATACCGAGTCCGATGAACGGGCAGAGAGAACATTGTTACGAAATTGGTTTGTTATTCTTTACGATCAATCGAATATTTTGTCGTGCGGAATAGAAATTTGTCTGAAATTTCCACCAAGTAGGCCATGGCTTTCTGGGCCGATTCGTAGATTATGACATCAATACATTTTACGTAACACCGGTGGAGAATAAATACCTAACTTGGGTTAATATTCAGGATGCACCATCGGTCCGATCGGCCGACCAGATTATTCACGCGAACGTTCGAGGTATTCCGTATAAAGAATCAGGAATATCTGAGCGAGAAGGTTCTACGGAGGTTTCCACTATTTTGGTGGAATCCTCTCTGCTCAATTTACTTCGATTCACTTTAACGGAAGTAATCGAAATTCGATGGCGAATGGAATTGGAATGGGAGTTCGAGATACTCATTATATTTTTCATTACATAAATACAGCCTCTCGATTATTCTAATGTTTAAGAAATGTTTAAGTTTCTAAGTGTAAGTCTAACGTATTGTTAGTTAATATATCAATTAGTTGATCGAAGACCAGTTGGCGAACGTTTCTAGCCACCAAAAAGTCAAGGTGATTAAATTTCTTGTATGGTACTTTGTAGAAAACTGGTTTATGAGGTAGCTTGTTAACAAATCTTACGACGTCCTAAAACAGAGATAAACGACAATAAAATCGAGGCGAACATATCTGGAAACTTATTTAAACCGAAATACAGACTATACGAGTAGAAAGCCAGTCGTTCTCCCCCCAGAACATGGCGATTGGTGTTATGATCCTCGATATATTATACTCCGGTGGCTCGGTGCTATTGTAAATCTCCAAATTTTTGTCTTTGCCGTAGTCGTATTGTCTAAAGTTTCCGGATTTGACCAACTGGCCGTAATGCGTGAGTTGTTTGATAGATCCACCGGCCGGTATGTGGTTCAAGAACTTAGGCATTAATTGCTACGATAATTAAAGATTTGCGTAAATAATTAAAAACTGCATAAACGAAAAATCGCTAACATAGTTAGCGCATCTCTGTGTACTCACGTAATCAAATTCCGTACTGTCGAATCCGACCACGAGGAAAAACACATTAGAGCAGACTTCTTCTTCCAGAGTATTGAAATAACAAATGTATTTCGTCAAAATCTTAACAAGAATATCGTTCGGTAGGAACTCGCCATGTGAGACGGCCTCAATTACTTTCTAAGGATCGAGATAACGTCTGATTAGAATCGAGGCTGCTTCGTTCAGCAAACCGGACTCACTGTCAATAATATTACCCTGTTCCTTACCTTCAAGGGTTCTTCGGCAAAGGCTAAAAATCGCATTACGGGAGATTGCACATATTTCAAATACGCGACCGGGGCTAAGACATACGCCGATTGCACCAATCGTGCTATCTGCGGTCGCTCGCTACATAGGACAAAGAAAGCTGTTGTACCCATCGAGTATCCGATGTAGGCCCTCAACAAGTTTTGTTTCGTTTCCACGATATGAGTGAGCATCGCCGGTAGATCGTAAATGCCTGATTCATGCCAACTGAATAAACAAGCATCTTATTAATTAACATAAACCTCGCGTACTTATTTGTCACAAATACCTGAAATCCCAAAATCTTCTATCGTCGGAGGACAGATTAACGTGAGCCCTCGAATAAGTGTTCCCCCGAAAATTCCCCAACCACACATCGTAACCCCGGTCGGCCAGCAAGAAAGCTGAGGGATAAGAAGAAGAACTTATGTATTAAGTTCTATAGAGATAGAAGGAGCATTCAAATAAGTACCTAAGGATACGCTTTTGTTAGCGATGAGCCAATCCGCAGAGCTACCGAGTAAACCGTGTTGTAAAAAGACCGCTGGGGATCCTGGTTTCCCAAGGATACGATGTATCGTCAAGATGTAACCATCCTCTGTCGTCACAGTGTGTGCCTCGGCCGGATAACCCTGACTTTGTATTATTTGCAACTACAATCGAAGGAATCACAGATTAGTCTTCGATCGGCGATGAATTATTTCACGTACCAAAGCGTCTGTCCTTGAACATTGAAATCGTATCATGGAAAAGCTCCATCACCGGTACAATTTTTCCACGCATTAGTCAGACGAATGAGATAAATAAATCTCAAATATTTAGTTAACAATAACGGGGCGTACGTATAATTTCACTTAATAATTCATGGAACATAATGTACTCGGTAAGTTTACTAACAGGGAAAAAAGAGCTCGAGTACACGATGGAATAGAGAAGTTCTGCGTACGACCCGTAATGATCATAATTATAAGATTCCACAAACAATATCATTTTAACGCTGAGAATAATGTAAAAGGCATATACGGTTTTAAGTGAAAAAGATTTTATTTCCTTTCCCGGAGATCTCGCAGTTTAATTAGGTATCGAGCAATTTATTAGCGCGATTAGATACGTGATAACACGCTAAATAGAGTTAATGATAAACTATGATAAACGCGATTCAGACAACTGTGTCGATTCTTCTTCCGTCCTTTCAACGCACAGAATAAAAGATTCGTAATTAGACTTACTGAATTGAGATTGTCGTTCGTTTGATCGGTCCTTCGAAACTCATCGAAAATAGAGTTGGGAATGGTATCGAGCGTTACGTCTGAGATCGCCCCCGAAGCTGCATGAGAGATCAGCCACAGGGACGAGAACGTGATGATCAGATCTTTCATTCTTAGAATCCCGCGCAAACAACAACAGAAATGACAATTTCAGATAGAAGAGAACGTTTATCTATGGATTAACACTGGCGTTACAGCTTCATCTGTGCAAAGACAAAACCTTAATAAACCGTTTGCAGTTCTCTTTATCGTTACAAATGTGTTTCATCTTTAAGCGCTAGTCATTCATGATTCATCTGTCACGCGTATCGTTGTCCGTTTCAATGCGAAAAAATTCATTCATCACAGCACAATCTGAATACGATAAAACGTAACAAAAGGACACGGAAGGAAACTGATCTGCGATTTGACGTGGCAATTTGTTACAGACGACAGAAATGAGGGGATTTTAAAACCACCGTACCTGAATCCTGCAAATTACAGAGTGATGTATTAGAAGCGAGGATGAAAATTATATATGCGAAAGAATAAAAAATTATTGCGAGACGTAAAATTTGTTATCTGTTATCAGGTACATATAATTAAAACGTATCCTTCAGCATACAGAAACAGTACTTGATAAATAATATTCATGTCCATTTTTGGTTGTTATCTTCACTTTCCTTTACGTTTAAAAGTACATAATATTTTAATAATATGCATGGACATATACATTTCCTTTTTTATTATAAATGGTAAGTTCATGATGTCTCGATCTATTCGGTAATGACGTACGACAGGAGAGTCATGACCTAGAATTATTCACAATCGGATTATCTCGTAATTTATTTACAGTTATACGATTACAGAAGCATGTTATTTGAAAAATAAACGTTAGATAGTGAATCATGTTTCACTCGTCGTATCTTCCGAATAATTAACGGGTTTAGAACTATTTATCTACTTTAGTTCTTTTCACTCGAATTTAATTACTGATCGAAACGAGTCTACTTAGAACAATCAATGAAACTGATGTCTCAATACCTGCCTCCGTTGGATATATTAAAAGAAAGCCGAATTGTTATGCGTCGATGTATTCATTATGTAATAAAATTATATACTCCTACATAAGCATTACAATATTTCTCGCTATTCCTAACACAAATTAGCAATGTCTGACATTCGATAAACACGATGTTTTAAATACTTACAACACAAGACAACACTGAAGAATTTACTGGTAGAAATTAATAATGATAAACTAAATTACTATTATTGCAATGACACAACATAAATATTAGAAACATACGTATCGTATCGAACGTTTCGTCACGAAGCCGCTATACTAATTTACCCTCTGGTACAGTAATTATCGATATAATATCCAAACACGAACGCATCCAACAATACTGCTGAACTACTCCCGGCAGGAACATAATCAAGCGCTCAACAATGCTTACTGTCAATGTCAAATAAAAAGTAGTTAACCTAGAAGATGTGTCAACCCAACTGTCTCATGTCCGAAATAATAGACCATAATAGACCACGGCACCGGGCCGAAAAGTCAGTAGCGCGTTAGAAAGAAAGAGCTATAGACAGATACCACACTATTCTTGTTTAATCGCGCGATTTATAGGTTATTTTTATTAAAAGAACGCTGAGCGCGCATGCGTGATTAAATAAAGATAGACAGGTATCTGTTTATAACTTCCTCTTTCTACGCGCTATCGCTTGCACTTACAGCCGCTGACCGCTGACGTGCCAAGTGTTATTTCATCCATTAACTTATCTGTATTTAACCCGGCGAGATGAACGAAGTCACATTGCCACCCACACCTAATTGGTATTTAAGCAATATCTGTGCTTGTTCCTTCGACGGTACCGTAGCATGGGGCGCTAGAAACGTGATCATCATTGCTAAACCTAACGCAGGCGAGAAAACGTTACAATACTCTATTATTAAGAATGCTTATAAACAGAGAGTGACATGCGTTGCATTCACGCCTCCGTTCGAGGAAGTGAATCCTCATTTACTAGCTTCTACAGCAGATGAGAATGTAATAAAAGTCTGGGATGCACAGACGTTATCTACAGTTTACACGTATACCTTGGAGGCTGTGAGTATGAATGTCTAACGAGCGTGATGATCCAGCTTGAAATCTTCATTCAATTTCAGGGTAAACATGCAATCGGAATCGATTGGTCTCGTAAAGAATATGCTCTGTACGCAGCTATTTCCGATGGCTCTATACTATTATGGAACATGCATTTCGATACTGTCATCACGATTTCATTAGGAAAAGTGTCGCCTACTTGTATCTCTGCTTGTCCTCACGATCCACACCTCGTGGCCGTAGGTTCTAAGAGCGGCTTAGTTTTTATACTCAATTTCCAAGGGAAAGGGAAAATAGTTTATAAACTTCGGGGGCACGATATCGATATAGTTAATTTATCGTGGTGTCCCTCGGAAACCAACGTTTTCAATGAGAATCTTAATAAAGATTCGTTGTTAGCTTCAGCAGGGAAAGATAGGTAAATAGAGGGTTTATGATCTCAGGTTTAGGAAGGTATATGCGGATCTCAATTTATAGATCGATTTATATCTGGAGAGCCGGTGGAGATGGTCGCTACGAAATGGTAATTCCATTACCTGTGGCACCGCTCGATTCCCAGCAGCACAGAAGCAAATTAAATGCAAGTGTCGGTAACTGGATCGTGGTCGATTGGATAGAACCTAAACTATTGCTCGCGAGCTCCTTTTGGGGTGAACTTATTGCCTGGGACTTGTCGACGATCACAAAAGGCAAACCTGCCGTCAAGCTGATACATGCATACCACAACAGAGGCTTGTTCTGCATTGCGCACGTACCGAATGCTCAAGATTCTTCCGTACAAAATTGGAGGCTGAGAGAGAGGTTCCCTTCAATACGTTTATACGCGCAACCCACTGAAATATGATTAATAACTAAAACGTTGCAATGAACGCAGGCACGTGATTTGGACTGTGGCACAAGATCGAAGAGTCATTTGTTGCGGGATAAAGGAAACTAACGTTGAGATAGTTTACGATATTTTCACGCAAACCGGATTCGTGTATTGCATAGCTGCTTGCCCCTTAGACACTTCGCGTGTCGCGTTCGGTGTCGGGGATGCGATGTTGCGATTATGGAACTTGTCTGCGGATCACAGTACTTCTTTCGATATAACTATGCTATGGCAAAAGATTAAGGGAAAGATTCGTACGGTAAATGAAGAAGGAATACAATATATTTTGATTCGTATCTTTGTTCTATCTCTGGTATTATTAATACAGATATCGTGGCATCCCGAGAAAGAAAATCTATTGGCGTATGCGACTGAAGAGGGTCGAGTCGGGGTATTTAATACGAATAGTAATAAGCTACCCGTGTTGTATAGACAATACCATAGAGGCATTGTATATACCATTCATTGGGGGCCAAGCCCAGAGAGCGGAGAATATGTTCTGTACTCCTGTGGGGAAGGGGAACTGGTGTATTACGAGAAACCGAGTCAAGGTAACATTTCATAATTCTGATATCAGTCATATAATATGAGATAGTACAATTACGATTTGATTTAATTAGAGCCTAAATCGCTACTAAAGAAAGACTGTACCGAGTTCTCTTGGAAGCCAGATTTCTCTTGCTTAGCAGTAGGATTTGAGGATGGGTATGTTTCTCAAGCACTTTACACGGAGTCTAAGTAAGAATCAAGTAATTTTTAAATTTCAGAACAATCTCGTTTTTCAATCGAAAGTTTGAAATTCAAGGATACGCCAAAATTGCTTCGCGCATGATATACTCGTTAGTGTGGCATCCTGAAAGTACGGCGACGGATCTAACGCTCTCTCCATTACGAAATTATTTAGCTGTTTCTTCTAAATCGTCTCCTGCAATTATTTTGGATCTAACTGATTTCATCGACCATCTTACGAAAGTGGAAGATTCATCGGACGGTTCAGAAGAAAATCGTGAACCTTATAAAGTTAATCAAGTTGTGACTACCTTAGCACGCGAAAGCGGGCGTAGTTCTGTTTGTTTAGCATGGAGTCCGTACATAAGTGGATATTTAGTATCCGGTAGTTATGATTGGACTGCGCAGGTATGTAGATTATACGAGGAGTATAGAAATGACTATTGAATTACTTACACGTAATCGATTTTTAGGTATGGAACGTTCAAACAGAAGAGTTAATAGCAATTTATACGGGGCACATCGGCCCTGTAGTGTGTTGCATGTGGAGTCCATTAAATCCTGATTTCATTATAACAGGCTCTGCAGATTCTACATTGCGAATATGGAAAATAGCTGATAATGCGCCGAATAATGAACTGCCAAAGAATACTACTAAAAAGAAACAAATTAAAGCTAAGAATAAAATAGCTGACACCACAGCGGTCCAGAACGACTTAACGGAATTGACCGATGGCGTGTCGGAATGTTCTATCTCGAACGTTTCTCCGATTGTACAAAGTATGAAATTGATAGTCAGAGAATCTAATTTATTCCCGCAGTACGATTGAATTACCATTAATTATTTCAGAGAAACCGGTAACGAAGGACGTGAAAAACAAAAAATCCGAACGGCCATCCTATTTTACGAAAAACATTAAAGCAGTGAACGATAAAACAGTCTTTCTCAATCCTTTACTAAATGTCGTAAAGAGCATGAAGGATGAGAGTTTCGATGCTGAGAAAATTCAGAAGGATACTTCGTGTGATACGATGTCAGTATTATTTTTAACGGACGAAAACCTTATGTCATTTTTGACTCAAGAGAGTAAGCGATTTATCACTCTAGAAAACGTTCGCATCGAGAATGATTTGCAGTATTCATTTAATTAATGCACAGGAACTACTCATGCCGCGAAGAATAATCACAATCTAGTCACGGAAATGGACTTATGGTGTGACAATCTTAAACTAAATTTAGATGAAGCTGTCAAAGAAAAGCGACTGAACGATTTCCTTGTCTCGCTTTCAGCTAGTCTGTCTGTGAAGTATGTTATTATATATACTCGTTTTTAAACGATACAAATCGCAAATCTGATCGAATGATAATGAACGTGTTACGCGTACAGGACGTGGAAGGATATGTGTCAACAATATGCATATCAATTGATAGCTGAAGGAAATCCTTGCAAAGCGGTGTCGTATTTACTCTGTATACATAAAACCTATGAAGCTATAGAAGTGTTCCAAGACGCAAACTTATATAAAGAAGCGTACGTCCTTGCAAGGTCTAAGCTCGAATCCGACGACCCGGTTCTGACAGATATATTAAAAAATTGGGCAACATACAGCGTGAATTCAGGCGATTTCGAACAAGCTGCGCTCGTGTAAGTCGTCAAATATTATTAACGATACAACGGGGTGACAGACTTGTTACAATTTTATTTCTAGTTACGCTAAATTAGGAGAATTATCCGATGTCGTAAAATACCTCGCACGGCGTAAAGATGCGACCATGTTAATAACAGCTGCCGAAATCGCAGTATTATGCGACGACAATACTCTCGGTGAATCTTTAGCTGAACAAGCAATGATCATGACTTTGAAAAGTGAAAACCACGAGCTAGCCCGAAATATAATAATAAAGTTTCCGCGTTTCAAGGTAACTCGGCGTAGTCTACATTTTCATTTTTTTTCATATCTATTATTTCTTTAAATATACTATTTGCAGTATTACGAGGTGTACTTCTTGGCTATCGAAGAACTTTGTAAAACAATGGATAGGACTATTACTCCTGACATGGTATTAACGTGGTTAAATGGAAAATCAGAATACGATTTACTGGGAACTTTAGAAACACGCTGCGGTGAATGTAATTCTTATTACGAGTATTTGTATGAAAATAGAAGTCATTATACTGCGATTAACGAGGAAAAGAAGGTATGATTACAACGAGAAATCTATATCTGTCTATCCTAGGAATCTATCTATATTTTTATATACTGAAAATCGTAACGTTTCGCTTAACATCTTGTGATTTCAGTTAGGCTTAGTACTCTGTAATGACCTCGCACTAGTAGTAGCTTCAAAGAACGAAAAAGAAAGATTGAAACACATTCTGAAAACGTTACATACTATTACTGAGTTTGAAAAAGGATGTACACATACGTTTGGGAATGTTGGAGAGAAGCTTAATCTTTCAATGGAATTTATTATAAAGCTGAGTCCGAAAAGTTTAATGGACGAAACGGGCATTTATAAAAAGAATGACTATTCTGTATCAGTTAGCTTACGAGCTTATCTATGTTACATTTTACTAAATTGGCTTTTGTATAATATCGACGACGATGCTGTTATTGATAATCTACAAACTTATGTCAGTGTAATTGAGGATCTACTGGAAGATACAATAAACAAGGAAACGATAGAGTATTGTATGATAACGAATAACGTTCAGGCCAAGGAGAAGACAGTAGCTTCTGCCATATGTAAGTTACGGAAGTATTGCTCAATCAAAATATGTTATTAAATAATATTATTAAAGAATGATTAAAGCTCGTATTTCAATTTCCCTACTAGGTAAGATACAAGAAGAGAAAGGAACTGATGAGAACGTGGAGTCACTTATGGAAGATCTAAACGCGTTAAAAGCTCGAAAGGAAGAAATAACGAAAAAATTAGTTTGTGTCCCGCATCCTATGATGGTATACGGACAATTGAATGAACTCTGTAGTAAGATACCTGATGAAATTCTTAGAAATAAGTTCGCAGAAAGTCTTTCTAACACGTGGAAGAAAGCGACTACCTAAAGTGCTTTGTACATCGTGTTAAAGACATTGAATAGAATAAGTACTTGTCTTTTTCTTTTTTGTTTTACATTCACTTTACTACTTATCGCTAAGTTGAAATCGCCATGGAATTATACGATGATTTTTATTCGTAGAAATTAAGAATAACTGTAAAGCGAGAATGATTTTTTCATAATAAAAGTGATTGTTTTTCACCTTGTAGTTACTTTCCAGAAGCGAACCTCTCTATCACTCGTCGCACAAACGTACGGTAATTTGTAATGCCAAGTTACACCGCCTATCAGTTTCACTTGGCCGCAGATTATCTCTTGTTCAGTTCTCACATTTGTCACTTTCAATAAGTTATCCGGCCTGCCTACGCTCACGACGAAATGTTCATAGGCAGGAGAGAACTTGACGACCAATCCACCTTCGACGTGAAGAGGCTTCGATTCTAAAGGCGGACTGAAAGCCATGAAAATTGTTACGATACAATAGTTTTCCATTTTTTCTAATAAGAAGACAATAGAACGCAATGGCGTTACCTTGGTTTCGATATATCCCATAAGATCAACTTGCCAGCTGCTATAGCAGCAACTTTCAACGGATTAGGCGCCCAGTCGATCGACATTAAGGGAACGATGTCGGAATCTAAAGACATAATCGCCTGTTGACTTCGTACATCGTACATATGGATCAATCCATTCTTTTCTCCGACAAGAAGCTTCCCAGATTTTTCTGAATGAAAGCATACACTCATTCCGGGGGATGTTAAATAGAACGTGGATATGGATTTCTCATCTTCCTTCACAGCCCAAATTTTACAAGTATGATCATCAGATACCGAGGCCAATATCTCGCCTTCGGTCTCATAACAAATTGAATTTATGTAATCCTTGTGCCCCTCCATCTGATATTAAAAGCGATATGTATAAGAAACGTTGAGAAACTTGATTGTGCAAAATAAATCGCATCTATTATTGCGAACTTACTTCGCATACAGTGTTTTCATTCATATCGCTACTGTATAATCTTATTTTGTAATCTGCTCCAGCAACGCAGAGCATAAGAACTTTTGGTATGACACTCAAGGAGGTATCTGGACTCCAAGCAATAGCATGTGGCCTAACATCGTGACGGAATGTTCTAATAGCATTGAAAGCTATGTCTTCGACTGATTCATCTTCTTCCTTATGTTACAACAATTATTATTATGAATTATATATTGAACTCGAACATTGAAATTCGGCAGATTTACCTGAAACTTAACGGTACCAATAACGATCTCTTCAGCTAAGGCGATGCAGATTAAATGTTGGGACCATTCGTACGGAGATAATTCGACGCAATAAATTTGCTTGGAGAAATGCAATTGAAACGTAGGTGGTGTGGTCAGAGCTTCGTCCATCGCGTATTTTTAATATTACTCTCAGTAGGTCGAGAAATTACCGGCATAACCTCTATAACCTCGTTCAATGATCACATTCGGAATTAGTGAGGAACACATGCGAAAGGTAGGTGGACGGGATTACTCGACTCGCGGTGTAATTATCGTAGAAAACTCTTATAATTGCTATTCGGGTCGGTGAAGTATGTACACAAACAATGATTCTATAGATCATTAAATATATAAACGATATAAACATAAAAAATACATGAACACATGATTTTTCGCATTGCAAATTACTAGGAAATCATGGAGGATTTTCTCTCTGGCAGTAGTGGTATCATCCTGGGTGAGGCTGGGTCGAATTTAAATCGTGTCCAGAGGGCGATACTCATTTCACGTATGTTATATGTAATCGTTCAACGTGCCGCATAAGTAGTTCTTGGGGGTGAAGCTTCTTTGACTAAATATAAAATCAACACGTTGTATGTACACGCCGCGAGTTTTCGATTCCACAAGCGAGGAACAGATATGAATTGACAGGCCATCCCGGCACGGTTTCTGCCAAACGTGTAACTTCGGCCTCCCCAGATCTACGATCGCATCGCGAGGTGGGTGCTTTCTGTCAAGGCATGCTTTGCCACTGCATGACTCCATTTATTCTGCTCACTCAGATCGCAGTCTGTTCCGATTTATCTCGCGTTGGAATCAGACAGTTTCACTGTCGGCTAATTTATTTTCAAATCCCTGGGGATACCTGTAAACATTCGATAAACGCACGGGTTCCCTGCCCCTTCCACGAGTCACGTTTACTTTCCCGTTCTCTTTGTCTCTGAATTTGAATTTTCAACCGATACCCTTTCGTTCAATTTTATTCTATTCGTCGCGATCTTATTTACCGAAACCTCTGCGATAAGGATTTCCACGCTGCTCGAAGATATTATATCTTTATACACGTTGCATATTGTTATTCTCGTGCGTTCCGTTCATAACGGCGATCGGGAGAGTTAATCATTTAAATCGAACACATAAAGTGATCAATGTGTTTTACAATTATTCACATCCCGGGATTTAAAGAACACTTACAGTTCTATGTCACATATATTTAAAAGAAAATGATGAAATAAGTTGATCGTTTGCTGCATCACACAAATCGTATCGTCCTTATCCTGAGAAAATGATGTCAACTTCAAACTCGTATTAAACTGCGAAATCTCACTTTTTAATTGCAGTGCAATAGGTAGGAATGGAGTTCGGAGCGGGCAATGTTGCCCAAATATCAGCAGAGCTTGCTCAAGTGGTAGAAGTGATGATGTCGCCGAACGTACCGCAGCAGCAACGGTTGGAAGTGTATAATGCCTGCGAACGGTTCAAGGAATCATCTCCACTCTGTGCACAGTGTGGATTGTACCTGGCGCAAAAGGCTCCGAACCGGAGCTCTGTGGTCCGACATTTCGGGCTGCAGCTTATGGAGCACTGCATCAAGTACAGATGGACACAAATATCGCAGTCGGAAAAGATATTTATAAAAGAGAATGCTATGAAATTGCTTCAAGAGGGCATGGAACCGTTGCTGCAAGAGGAGGCTCATATCAAGGACGCGCTCTCCCGCGTCGTTGTAGAAATGATTAAGAGAGAATGGCCGCAACAGTGGCCTACCCTGCTCGCCGAGCTCAGCCAAGCTTGCACTAGAGGCGAAAGCCAAACCGAGCTGGTCCTTTTAGTATTCCTGAGACTCGTAGAAGATGTCGCACTCCTACAAACTCTCGAATCTAATCAAAGACGGAAGGATATATACCAAGCGCTCAACACGAACATGGCTGAGATCTTTAGTTTTTTTTTACGATTAATGGAGCAACACTTCTCGGAATTCCAAAAGAAGAACAGCTTAGGTTGCACCTCGGAAGCGGCTGCTCACAGTAAAGTCGTGCAAGTGGTACTCTCTACGTTGACCGGATTCGTGGAATGGATCTCGATCAATCATGTGATGGCAGAAGACGGTAGACTGTTACAGATATTATGTCTTTTATTGGGAGATCCGATATTTCAATGCGCGGCAGCCGAATGCTTGTTACAAATCGTGAATCGTAAAGGGAAGGCCGAGGACAGAAAACAGTTGATGATCTTATTCTCCGAAGATGCTTTGAGATACATTTACACTGCAGCGACGACACCACCCTCCGGGACGATCGAATTTCACGAGAGTCATTATCTTTTTTTAAAAAAACTAACCCAGGTGTTGACCGGAATGGCGACTCAACTGTGCGCGCTGTGGGGCAAGGACGACGGTTCCAGTATCCGACCAACGCATTTCAACGTATTTTTAGACACCGTGTTAACCTTTACCATGTACTCGAGCCTGACGCTGACGCATATGGCGAACGCGATCTGGATAATGCTGTTCAAACACGAGCAGATCAAGCAGGATGCACTCTTGATCACCTACATACCGAAATACGTCTCAAGCACGGCACCGAAGCTGATAAAGATGTCGTATCCCCAAGGCAGGCAAGCCAACGGGATGAGCGCGTACTGTCTCGCAGATTACGATTCGGTAGAAGAGTTCAATGTTTTCCTTCATCGATTCAGAACCGACCTGTTGGAAGGATTCCGGCAAGCGACAATGGTAGCGCCGCTCGTAACGTTCACTTACGTGCAACAGTGGTTAACAGCTAAGATAACGAAAGGGATGGCGGACCTGCGATATCAAAGCGACCAGAACGATCCCCAGTACCTCGAATGGGAAGCTCTTGCTCAAGCTCTAGATTCGGTCGTGTCTAGAATTCTACTAATCAACGAGCGGCCAAGCGTGCAGACTGGCCTTCAATTATTAGAACTATGCCTCGGCTATTCCCCGCAGGATCCTTGGTTGTTGTCCGCGCTACTCTCCTGCATCAGTGCTCTCTTCGTGTTTTTATCGATGTCCACCGGTTCGATGACCATGCCGGGTGTAGCTATCTTGCCCAGAGTCTTGGAAAAGATTTTCGCTGCTTTGGTCTTCGAAGCGCCTGGTGAAACGAAGGGCACTCGATCTAGAGCAGCAAAGAACGTTAGACGACACGCGGCCAGTCTCATGGTCAAGATCAGTCTTAAATATCCGCTGCTGCTTCTTCCAGTCTTCGAGCAGATACACACGATGGTCCGGGGCTTGGCGAGAGAACCTAGTCCATTATCTAAAATGGAGACCACGCTGCTCTACGAGGCGTTGCTCTTGATATCGAATCACTTCTGCGATTACGAGAGGCAGACCAGATTTGTTGCCGAGATAATTGGCGATGCATCGGCGAAGTTCATTGCTCTCGGAGCCGAATCGTTCAAGGGACCGCTCGAGCTGATGAGGTTCATAGGTCTGGACAGGCCGCCGGTTGAAAATATCGCGGAGGATCCCGCTGGTCAAAATCGGAGCGACTTAATGATATGCATTTGCACGATACTATGCGTTGTGAAACGGTGCTCCATCCCGGATGATCCTGACCGCGCTGCGAGGGGCAACTTCGTCGCCGCGCTCAGTGAGAGCGGGAATCCTGTTTATAGAAATCCTGCTATGCCACATGTGATACCAGTACTGCCGACGCTTTTCGCATTGCTCAGGACAATGAACGCTCTCTTTACGCCCGCGGCTTTGGCAGCTTTATCAGAGGTAATAAAAGGATCGGTGATCCAAGTATTTCATTTTAAAAAGGAATGCGCTAACACGTTCTTCTATTCGCTCAGGGATACAACAACGCCCATGAACTGCTGGAAGTAGATAAAGCGAATTTATTAGGTTTAAATACAGCGAACGATAATGAACGAGCCTCTGAACCTGATCAGTCGTCGTTCACAGCTTCGATTCGGATGCAATCGTTCCTTAGCACCATTCATGATGTCTGCTACCATATGCTGGGTAGCGGATGTCATATGATAGGAAGAGATTTCTATCAGTTACCTGGTTTAGCTCCGGCGCTCATTAATTCCGTATTCTCGAATATGGAGGTAATCCTTGTCACATACTTTTATTACGGACAACTTAATTAATTATTAATACGGTCTCTGCTCGTCTTTCAGATGATTCCGGATTACAGGCTGCGACCAATTATACGTGTCTTCATGAAACCATTCATATATTCCTGTCCACCTGCATTTTACGAAAGCGTTCTAGTACCTGTACTAGCTCACGTTTCCACGCACAGTAAGATACTTTTCGTTTACTCCTCGTCGCATTTATTTTGCCCGCATCATTGTTTAATCATTTCACGGCAGTGTGTCAAAGGCTGAGCGCGAAGTGGCAGTATATCGCGCACCTCTACGAATCCGGTGGCTTGGACGAAGAGAACACCGATACGCAGGAGGTGATCGCTGATATGTTGAACCGCAACTTGACGAGGGACTTCGTGGACGTGTTGAAGGTAGCCCTCGTCGGCGGGGTAGCCAGCGACGCTACGCCTCCCGATTCTATGGAGCAGGACAGCGGCAGCATGGCCATAGATCCTCCTTTGTCGCGTGGAAACAGCATAGTCGCCGAGGTCGTCAGCGAGTTGGGAGCCGTTGTTCTTCGCCACCCATCCACGTGTCACAGCATCGTCCTATGTGTCTTAGGGTAATTCAAACGGGACATGGTCAATTTAATAATAATCGTAGAGTCGATGATCTGGTTTTAAGTGCACAATTCTTGCAGGGCTTTGGCGTGGAACGATTCGAACGCCAGTTTGAAAGCTACGATGCTAACTGGACCGGTCGTTCGAGCGTTGGCGGCCGACGGAAGTTTAACACCTGCCATGGCTGCTCATATTATGGTAGCTATTCTTCAAGGTTTGCAGCTTCACGGTCAACACGAGGCCAACCAGGGTTCCCTGATAACTCTGGGAGCGCAAGTTTACGAATGCCTACGACCTAAGTTTCCCAACATCATCGAAGTGATGCAGCAGATTCCAGGCGTCAACCCCACGGACCTGCAGCGTTTCGACGAGAAGATGGCTGTAGTCAGTACCAAGGGCAATAAAGTGGAGAAAGGAAAGAAGGATCTCTTTAAGAAGATCACTAATCAAGTAAGGTTCACACACGTGTCTAAAGAAATATCTCGTTTACACAATTCTTACTATCTTATCGAATACCCATTACAGCTTATCGGTAGGAGTGTTGGCCAGTTATTTCGTAAGGAAGTCAAGATAAATAATTTGCCACGGATAGAAGTGTCCGGTAAACAAGCAGTGCGCGTGGACGAGATATCCGAAAATTCGACTGACAGTGGTTTCGCGGTTCTTTTCGGACCTACGTAGCACGAACTTCATCTAGGTGACCGTGCCGCGTGCACGTGATCCCAATTAATAAACAATTAATGTTGAATCATCGTGAGAACGATTCCTACAAGAAAAGGTCGAGGTACGTTCACAAGGGGATCCTGGAAATGAAATAAGGTGTCTAAGTTTCTATCGTGCGACGTGTTCCGACAAACAAATCTCCGTCTTTAAATTATTCGTAAAGTTGAACGCGTACTCACACTGTCTGGCACGCTCCGCAAGTACTCCGGTTAACGACTAAAATTGAAACGAATACGCTTATGGACGCGTTCAACATCGATCCTGAATAGAAAAAAAAAACGATGTAACGAAAACATGTCTCGGAGCCTCTTATTTACCACTCAGGATTTCGACGTGTATAGAAGAAACTGTTTAGTCCTCGAGTATCAGGGTGTTCGCGCGCGCGTGGGTACATTGTGTATACGTGTATGTATAGAACGTATGCGTGAATGTGTAGTGTGTATGGCGTACGGATACGCACATGTAACATAAGACATTGATTTGTCGTTAAAAGGAGAGCGTTGCAGCACGTCTGATGAAGCAAACGAATCTAAAATAGATTTTACTAATGAACTGTATATTAAATCTCTTACGCATTTATTATTATTATTATTATTATTATTATTATTATTATTATTATTATTATTATTATTATTACTTTGGAGTTACATAAAATCTCTTGTAACAATATAAAACAGCAATGTTTCCTCAACGCGATGTGTTATACAATTTTCTTTGTAAACGATTACTTCGCTAATGTACAATACAAAGGTTGTTGATTTATATAAAAAACAATTTTACGATTTCGTCTCTGGGGAGACCTCTTCTACTCGAAATCAGTTATACAAATATCGTTTCCTCGCCGCTCTTTAAAAGCGCGGTTCGGTATGTTTCATTTTAAATAGTTCTATTTAGGCATGTTGTAAGCATACGAAGCTTCTCTCTTGAAACGATAGCGAAGTGATCTTCCGTTCGCCACGGTGATTAAATGCAACTACTAAAATTGACGAGAAACAGCATTTGCGGTGCTTGCGTCATGCGAATCGGACGTGTAACGTTTTCGTTGTTATTCCTTTTTTAGTTGAATTAATTTCGTTATTACTGCGAGTAACGCGGCGTTACGTATGTAACCCGCCGCGTGACAATTGAATTAGCGCTTCACGTAATTCCCGTTACACATCAAATAGCGACAATACTTTTACATTAAAGAATTATAGGCATCACCTGATACGTGACAATCATCACGGATCCAAAGGTTTATCTAGTGAAGCACGTTGTTCAACGAATGAACCAAGTACTATCGCGACAGAGACGGTACTATATTTTAAAAGACTTATAATACTAGGCTCGAACGAAAGATTTAAAATAACAATACCGACGACGGTGTCTTTTATCGACTCGGTGACTAAATCGAATACCGAAATTTGATATTAAATTATGCGTCGTTAAAAAAACGTAGACGAGTCTCGTCTATCGTGTATTATTCACATCACATATGTTACAAAACAAATATTATGATA